TATTAATATGTGTAAGCCACTCGCTACCCCGTGCTCTGTACTTCTATCACAGCACCTTTGCTGGGACTACAGGCACCTGCCACCATGCCCGACTAATTTTTGTATTTTTAGTAGAGATGGGGTTTCACCACGTTGGCCAGGCTGGTCTCCAACTCCCAACCTCAGGTGATCCACCTGCCTCGGCCTCCCAAAGTGCTGCGATTACAGGCGTCAGTGTGCGCCCGGCCGGCCCTGACTCTCACTTTTGAAAGTGAGTTGGTTGTCAGCTTGTGTTCATTAATATGAATTTGCAATTGAGGCACTTCCCTGTGACATCATACAAAGAAGCAGTGTCGGGGAAGATGACACTCAGTGAAATCCTACTCCCTCCTGAGACAGGCAACAAATCCATGGTTGGCTCTGGAGCTGGTCCCAGCTCACTTCAGGTTCTTGTAATGATGGCATGGACACTAACACACAGGGTAGGTTCTGTGGGAACCCCCCCACCCCCCGATGACCTAGCTAGAGGGACTGGTCTTGAAGTTCCAGGGCTGGCACATCGTGGAAAGCCTAATGTTTGCTGCCGTGGAATTTCCTGGGGGAAGATGAGAAGAATTTGTAAAAAGTTAAAAAGGATACATAAACATCAATGACAGAAAGAAAAAGTTCAGAGGTAGGAGAGACCAGTTCCAAAGGAGGGGATTGTATTAGAATGTGACCCCCAAATCTGCCGGCCCAGAACTCACTTGGGGAAGCTTGAAATACAGGTTTCTGGGCTCTACTGCTAGGGAGCCTGGACTGTGTGATCTGTGCTTAGCACACTGCCCGGTAGGCACATAGATATGTTCAGTAAATGTGTTAAGAATGAATGCATCTCCAAGGTCCGTCGCAACTCAGTGATTCTGTGCATCCTTCTGGCTTGGGGAGGCAGGAGGGAAGTGTTGCTGGAAGAATCTCTGAGGCAAGAAGAAGAGCAGGATCACAGGACTGAGTAACTGGAAGGAAGAGTTTGGCACCTTTGCAGTTATTTTGCATACATGCCAGGTGCAGAGTAGGGGGCGGGGTGAGTAAGCTGGTTTCAACTTTCCCCCTTCCTTTTCTAATCAGCTTTTAAGCTGAACTCAGTTTCTATTGGAGAAGGGTGAGCTAGCTGAAACATGAGGATGGAATTTGCTTTTTTTCTTCTTCTGAGAAAACGAAGTGTGAGAACCCAAGTGCTTAGCTAGCTCACAAAACAGACTCACAAGAGGACAGAGGAGGGGCCCTGGGTCAGGACTTGAGACTGGAGCAGCCCTCACCTGCCATCGGCCCTCCTGTGGCATGCCAACGCAGTGTTGAGATCCTATGGGTTTATCTCCTAGTGATGGCAAGCACAGCCGGAGACCCCAGGGAAGCTCAAGGCTCCAGTGTGGCCCTATGTGTGAGAGAATCTTAATGGCCTCAGCCTACTTGTGAGCCCGGCATCTCCTGTCCCTTCTCTTGATTCCCACAATTGCTGTTTCCATAGACTGAGACTCTCCTAGCGTAGTTTCCTTGATGCCTCCTTCTAGAGCTTATTTCACTCTCTCCAGGTTCTCATGGAAAGAGTGCTGCTGCATTTATCACTGCCTTCTCCTCCCTTGCATTGCATGGAACCATTTATAGTTATCTGCTATAATACCTTTTGCTTTTAAACAATGGTATTTTTACTGATAAAAGCAGTACACATTCATACAAAAAGTTTGGAAGATAAAGAAACTTCACAGTTTCGTTCTAGCTCTTTAGAAGGCGTCTGAGATGTGTTATGGTCACAAAAAGGAGAACTGAAAAGAGCTTTAGCTGGGGGCATGATGGTTCCTGCCTGTAATCCCAACACTGTAAGGCCAAGGCAGGAGGATTGCTTGAGCTCAGGAGTTTGAGACCAGCCTGGGCAAATAGCAAGATCCTGTCTCTACCAAAAATAAAAATAAAAATCAGGTGGGCTTGGTGGCATGTACTTGTAGTCCCAGCTACTTGGGAGGCTGAGGTGGGAGGGTTGCTTGAGGTTGGGAGGTTGAGGCTGCAACTTGGGTGACAGGGCAAAGAAAGACACCATCTCTAGACACAAGAAAAGACCCTCATTGGCTTTCTCTGATGCCCTTTCTTCTTATCTCCTGTGCCCTCCAGAGGATAGGACATAAGAATGTTCTGTCCCCACCCAGCCGTTCTCCAGTGCCCAGGTCTTGGACTGCACAGGAAGCACCCCCTATGCTCTGTACCCCTGTGAATAAAACCTTTTTTACATAGGAGATTCCAGATTTAGATACAGAACTCAGGACTATTAAGGAGATTCCTGTTTTATTGGCTTAGCAATAACAATGTCATGAAAGCTTCACTTTCTACAAGAAAAATCCTGTCTTGCAACTATGATTATGGGAGAGCACACCGCTTCCTCTTGCCTCCGGGGGATCTCTTGGTGGAATTAAGTGTTATTATGGGGCATTGTGCGCCTCTTCAGGAAGCCGCTGAAAGACAGCCAACAATCAGCAAGTTCATAATCTCGTGTGTCCCACGGGTATCTGAGAATGGAGTACAAGTGTGCAGAGACGTAGAAGCCACCAGTCTTCAGGGTCACTTGGTCACCTAGGGCTGCTGAACTCCTGGGCTGCGCGTGCGCGCGCGCACACACACACACACACACACACACACACACACCCCTGGGTCTGCTAAACCCCTGGGCTGCGTGCACACACATATACATACACACACACACATACACACACACACACCTGGGGCTGCTAAACTCCTGGGCTGCGCACGCGCACACACACACACACACACACCTGGGGCTGCTAAACTCCTGGGCTGCGTGCGCGCGCACACACACATCCCTTTGCTCTGTCAGCTAAACTCTAAGTCCATGGTTTTCTTGTTCCTGGGAAATGAGCAAAAAGATGGCTCTCTCCATTTTGCAAGTAAGGAAAATGAACTCAAGGAGACAACTTTAGCATATGCAAAGCACTTTACACATATTAACTCCCTTAATCCTCACAATGTTTTGAGGTTGGTGCTAGTATTATCCCCCCATGACATGAGGACAGGCTAGTAACTTGCCCGGGTTCAAACAATTGATGGGTAGTGGAGCCGGGAATCCAAAGGGAAGAGTGTGATTTTGGAGTCCATATCCATGAGCATTATTTTATCGCGTTGCTGCTAATGGGGTCTTTCTGGAATACTGCTTTGCACATGTAACTCCCAGCTATGCAAGTTGTCAGTGGTTCACTGTTGCCCACAGGATAAAGACCAAGTATCTTAGTCTTTCAGTGCTTTCCATGGCCCGCTGTCAACCCCCCGTTCCTGCTTACCCAGCATGAGCAGTGAGGAGCCCTGGGGCATGCCTGGATGGTGGTGTTCCACTGAGCAAGCGTGCTTCTTACCCGTCCTCTCGGTTAAAGCCCAGACCAAGCCTCACCCATTCAGAAAAGCACCACCTCTACCACCGTCCTCCTGGTTTGACTGCGTTCACGGTGATCTTTTCCTTCTTTGTTGGTACTCACTGTTCGTGCCCTTTGTTCCGTATTTAGTTTGGGTTGTATTCTGTTCACGTACCTTTCACGTATCTGTCCAGTCTCCCTGCCGCATCCTCAACGTCAGCCCGTTATTGACGACGCTAATGAATATTCATCCCCACACACCTACTTGATGAGAAATTGAGACTCTGAGATTTGCAATTGCAATATTTGCTCAGATATCATTTTCCATTCAATAGTGGTATCCTAAATATAGCACATTAGCGAATTAACGTGGTCTGAGACCCTGTCTCATGCTCTATGCAACCCTCTCTCCCTCAGACTACCTCCCTATTCCAGGAGGTCAAGATTGACTGTCCCAAATAGTCCTCATCATTACTGTGCTGTGCGGGACTTAGCTGTGCTGGATGATATTAATTGTTGTACCCAGTTGTTATTTCAGTGCGGCCAAATTTTTACAGAAGTGGGTCTGCTACCAGCTGTGTGTCAGCTTTGGATAAACATCCTTCAATTCCATAGGGGAGGTCTGGAAGAAGGAGAACCCCTGTTTTGGCTTCAAAGACCAGAACTTTGATTCAAGCTGTGGCCTGCTGTTTGCTAAGCTTCAGTCATTTGAGTGCCAGCTTCACAGTTTTTGCCATACCTACATAGTCCGCACACTCTGTTTTATTATTATTTTTTTTGTAGAGGCAAGGTCTCTCTCTGTTGCTCAGGCTGGAGTGCAGTGGCACGATCACAGCTCACCATAACCTGGAAATCTTGGCCTCAAGCGATCGTCCCACCTCAGCCTCTCAAAGCACTGGGATTACAGGTGTGAGACACCATGCCTGGCCTTATTTTTTTTAACTTAAATTTTAATCTCATCCTAAATAATAACAACCACAACGTTACAGGTTCAATGTGCTCATTACAGTTTTTCAAATGGATTTTACAGTAAATCCACACCCATTAGGTAACGCTTTATCTGTGTACTACACATATTACGTCCCCTTCCTCTGTGGTGTGCTTGCCACCCTCTGGGACACACTGCTGTAGTATTTTGGTCTTCTCCTCCTCACCCTTTCTAGATGTGAAGTCTCTTCTGATCAGGTCACAGGCTGGGTGCCTGTGTTCCACTGGGCGGATTCCGCTATGCCACCTTCAGAGCCACATTCACGGTGAAAAGACTTCTAGGCAAGGCAATGGCCATTTTCTTTTCTAAAGAGCAAGAGCAGCTCAGCTGTTACTCCTTACCGTTTCCAGGGTCTCTAGTTAAGGTTTTATTGGAAGAAAAGGCCATATTGATTTTTTTAAAGCATGAAAACCATAGGCCAAGCCCATCCAGGATGAACACTTTGGGAAAGGTCATTTGTTTGGATAATCATCCACTCATACATTCATTGAGTACCTATTGGAGCCTCTCTTGGCTCTTCCTAGCTTAGGGGTCAGGAGAGCTGGCCTCAAGCATAGTTTGTTTACTGTAATGAAACAACAATATGCGTGTGGGATGAGGCCATGCCAAGCCCTGTTCCTATTTTCTTCCACTTGATCCAGGTTGGAAGTAAACCTTCAGTTCAAGTCCAGAAGCCACCTGCCAATACCAAGAACTCCAGAATGACCCAAGTCTTTCATAAGGTAGGGAGTGATGTTCAGCTCCTTTTCTCTAGGAGAGAATTGGAGAGGCAGGTGGCCAGGGTAGCTTCGAACAGGCAGTTTTGGCCAGTTCCTCATGACATGTATCATAACATGATGACAGCACTCTGTCCACATCACCATTGCCATATGATTTTTTAAAATGTTTTAATTTTAATTTTTGTGGGTACATAGTAAGTGCATATATTGATGGGACACATGAGATGTTTTGATAGAGATATGCAATGTGTAATAATCACATCATGGAAAATGGGTTATTCGTCCCCTCAAGCATTTATCCTTTGTGTTACATACAATAAAATACAATTAAATTACTATTGATTATAGTCACCCTGTTGTGCTATCAAACAGGAGGTCTTATTCAATCTATGTTTTTGTACTTATTAACCATCCCCACCTCTCCCGCAACCATTACCCTTCCCAGCCTCTAATAACCATCCTTTTAATCTCTTTCTCCCTTAATCCAATTGTTTTGATTTTTAGATCCACAAATAAGTGAGAACATGTGATATTTCTCTTTCTGTGCCTGGCTTATTTCACTTAGCCTAATGATCTCTAGTTCTATCCATATTGTTGCAAATGACAGGATCTCATTCTTTTTTTATGACTGAATAGTATTGCATTGTGTTTAAGTATCACATTTTCTTTATTCATTCATCTGTTGATGGACACTTAACGTTGCTTCCAAATTTTAGCTATTTTGAACTCTCTCCTGATTAATTAGTCAGTCAATCAGTGGAGGAGGGCAGGGATCCAAGTGAGTAGGTCAAGTCAATAATGTAGTCATAGAGGAAATGGAAGCTTATGTTGCACTGAGCAAGATCTGCATGATATAACAGGAAGAACTTCCCTGCGTTGGGGTGGTAAGATATTGGAGTAATAATAATAAAGGCCAGCACTTACAGTCTATATATTGACTCATTTACCTCACAAAAGCCTTATGAGGTAGGCCCCATTTTTGTTCCCATGGTAGTGATGAAATAATTGAGGTTTCGAGGAAGAGTCAGTGTGAGCTGTTGAAAGTCTACAGCTAGTAAGCGGTAGAGCAGGGGCTCAAACCCAGAGCCCATGTGCTTGTTGACTCTGCTGCTCTGGAATCTGCATTTCTTGCCAAGAACTTTAACAACAGGTTTATGTCCGGATTGGGGTTAGGCTCATTTTTTGTTGGGGGGTTGGGAAGGGGGGCTAGAAGAAATGATGCCTGGAGACGTTTTCTTGCCTAAGGTTTTTGTAATGGATGCAGTTTCTCCTTCTACAGAACTCCAGTGTTACTTCACTCCCCTTTGTGGACGCCAAGGGGAAGAAGAATATGGTAAGCTTCCCACACATTAGCAAGAAAGTCCTGCTGAAGTCATCCCTGCTGTATCAGGTGGGTGCAGACGGACGGGACCCTGAGAAGGTTTTAGTCCAAAGTTTTAGAAAGGCCCAGGATGGTGGGGAAAAGCACAGTATCTGCTGAAGAGTTGGGTTCTGGTCCTGTTCCCATTCTTTACAATGACTATAAGCTTGAGCAAATAAGTCCTTAACCTTTTCTTAGCTACGAAATGGTCCCTCTGTAGAGTTGTCAGGAGGATTCATTGAGGAAAGGAAAAATGAAGTGCTGTGCATGAAAGGTGGAACCATACAAAATATTAGTTTCCTCCCATGTCCTCCTACTTCTTTTGTGTAGGGACCAAATGAGATAATAGGTGAGAAGGTGCCAACTGAAAGAGGTGTCACACACACATAAGTTCACGTGCTCCTGGGCAAGTCACTTTGTCTAGCTGGGAGCTCACCTTCTTAAGAGCAGCAGTGAAAAACTGTTCCCATCTCTTCCCACAGTGAGATGTTGCTGGGGTTGTCAACAGCATACTGTAAGGTACAGGGGTCTCCCCAGGAACAGTGTGAGTCAGACAGATACTTCCTTTGGGAGAGAGCTAGGGAGAACCTACTGTCTCTTAATTGCTGTTTTCTCCCTGGAGAGGTAGGTAAATAGCCTGGCTGGAGGTGGGTGTCTTTGGTTAAATAAACAGTTATGTCCCCCAAGAGAGTCTTAAGTAGTTATTTATTGCAAACCTCTTTTCCTGGACAGGAGAATCAAGCTCACAATCAGATGCCGGCCTCAGAGCTCAAGGCTTCAGAAATACCTTTGCACCCTAGCATTAAAACCCAGGATCTCAAGGCAGGGGAGAAGTCACCAAAGAAGCACAAGGTGCCTCTGACAGCGGCAGGTATGCTTTTGGGGCAGTAGCAGGGTTTGGAGGTGGTTATGGAAGGTCAGGGTGTCAAGAGCTAAGCTGCGCTGGAGTGAGCTAAGCTGCCAGGTGTCAGAGTCGTCAATGAAGGCAGCAAACCATGAGGAAAGTAGAAGTTAAGCGTTGAACCTCTGACTGTGGTAGTATAAGCAAGAGGCTGAATCGGAGGCTGAATGTTCCCCCATGGAGTGACTCTGGGCAAGGGCGGGATGTACCCGTGCAGACAGAAGGAAGTGTCTCATTTGCTTAAGGAGCCAGACAGAAGGCTCCTGTCATTTTATGGACCCAGGGGCCAGGCGGAAGGCACTGAGAGAGTGGAAGAGCTAGGGGTGGAAAGGTATTGAATACAGAGAGCAGAGCAAAGGGTGTTGAAGCTCCTTCCTCTTGGTAAGGAGGTGTTGGGGAGGAGCCTCTGGTTAGAAATGCAGATATGTAGAAGAGCATGGCCAGCCAGGGGTCTCCGTCCTTGGCTGTAGCTTCCTCCAGAGACTGCAGTGCACCAGCTGTGGTGCAGGGAGGCATCTTTACCCATGAGGCTGGCCACGTGAAGCCTTTGTGGACTGCCTTGTGGTCAGGCCTGAAAGATTGCACATGGGTTTTTGGCCAGTGGCTAGACTTCTAACGGGGTTCGGAGACTCATAACCTATTAGGACGCAAAGGAAGACCACCCAAACCCACCAAGCATCCACTATGGGTGCCATCATCAGATGCTTTACAGCTCTTCTTCCACAACTTAGAAAGTGAAAGTGGTGCTTGTTGTTCTTAAACAACTCCGGGAACTATGCACGAAGAGGTCATTTCAGTCCCGAGCTGGTTCTGCCTTTACAGAGCTGCCGTCTGCCCCCTGCTATCTTATGCCTTGGCTCTGTCCTCTGGGCAAAGAACATGCCTTGCTCAGCGTATACATGACTGCCCTTCACTTATGTGAAAACAGAAGTCTTGTCCCCTGTAAGTCCTTTTCTTTTTCCTTGCAGTTCCCTCTCCAACGCTTCAGCAGTCTGTCAAATAATATGGTGTCCCCGTCCTGATCCTAGTTTCCTTTCTCTGAGAATGCTGTAGTTTATCAATGACTGTGAATTTTACCCCTGACCACGCACCAGAGCGCCGATGTGATCTGGCCAGTGTAGAAAAGTCCTAACTCATAATCTCTCCTTGCAATCTGAGGTCCTTCCTGATTCAGCTGCAGATTTGAGCGTGAAGCCTCCTGGGCCTTTAATGTTGCCTTTATGTTACCTGTCTGGCCCTGTAGACATTACAGTCTTCAAAGCCTCTCAGCTAATGATAGCTTCATTCCACATTAACTTGGGCAACTTGCCACCTGAACGATATACTATTGGTGACACTAATTTTACTCCTGGAATTTTTACCCACGCTGCTCTAACCCCCAGGTGTATGGGGACTGAGCTCTCCCTTTCCCTGTCCTTGTGTTCTTTTCTTGATTTGTTGAAATAAGTGCAAGACCTTGACATTTATCTTTGTCATACTTCCATCTTGTGAGATGCCAGATGCATGGTCCTCAGTGAGCCACCCAGCTGTGAAACAGGCTGATGGCTCGTGACCTGGAAGGATGCCATCGTCTGCATCCTGGGAAAATCCTATGCTGCCTCAACTTAACTCACAATCGTAGTGTTTTTCACAGAGGCCCTAAAGCTTTTTAAGAATCAGCTGTCTCCATATGAGCAAAGTGAAATCCTGGGCTACGCGGAGCTGTGGTTCCTGGGGCTTGAAGCCAAGAAGCTCGACCTGGCTCCTGAGAAATTTAGCAAGACGAGTTTTGATGATGAGCAAGGCTCCTATCTGAAGGTGATTGGGGCTGGGGGCCATGGGAACCTCCAGGGGCCCGGGGACAACGGGTAGTCTAGAAAGGAAAAAAGCAGGGGTATTTTTTAATATTTAGTGCTGATATGTTGGAGACTAGATGTCCTGAAGTATTCTGGTAGTGCCAAGCCAAAGAAATACCATGCCTGAAAATGGGGAAACATGCAATTTAGTATGCAAAATACTCTACTAATGGAAGACTGACTTTCCCCCAAGCGTACTTGGGGTAGCCGGTTTGCATCCTGGGTGAGCTCCCACAGGCTCCTTCCCTGCATAGCCCACTGGAAAAGGCCAGACTGAAATAAGGAGCAGTTTCCCCAACATTTCCTTTTTTGTCTCCTCAATACAAGTCCATACATGGACTCTTATTTTGTAATAGATGTCAATTCCCCCACAGACAAAAAAGCTTTTGTCACTGTAGTCCCTGGTGCATAGAGCTTAATATCATTCTGCTTTTAAAAAATTTATCCCAACAGCTCCTCTTCCCCCTCCTCTTCTGACTGTAGCCCTTGGCTTTCCCAGGGCAGTGCCTCTTCCCAGCCGGAAGGTGAAAGCTGAGCAGTGATTCCCAGGGCTGAGCATGTTGGGATGTGTGACGCTTAGTGCACTAGACTGTGGGCTGTCAGGAATTTCCTCTTCAGAACATTTCATTACCACTTGGATTTAAGAGACAAGATGAGCCTGATGGTTCATAGAAGAGGCAGATTTTATTAATAGCATTGAGGGCCATGTTTGTCTAGCATTACTATGAACAGAAACCACTTGCAGGATCTTGTTAAAATGCAAGTTCGTATCCAGCCGGTCTGGGGCTAGGGCCTGAGCTTCCAGGTGATGCCTGTGCTGCTGATCCTTGGACGACACTTTGAGATGCAAGGATTTCGTTTCTGTCACACAGTGCCTTCTAGAGCCTGGGTTTTCAATATTTTCAGTCAAGAACCCCTTTGGGAGCCTGATAAAAGCTATAGGTCCTCATCCCAGAAAAGACAACCTGCACATACATAAAATTATAGGGGGTTAGTGGATCCTTGGTTAGGAATCTCCAATAAGTATATATATATATTTTTTTGAGATGGAGTTGCCCAGGTTGGAGTGCAGTGGTGTGAACGGCTCACTGCAACCTCCACCTCCTGGGTTCAGGCGATTCTCTTGCTTCAGCCTCCAGGGTAGCAGGGATTACAGGTGCCCGCCACCATGCCTGACTGATTTTTGTATTTTTAGTAGAGGCAGGATTTCACTGTGTTGGTCAGGCTGGTCTCAAACTCCTGACCTCAGGTGATCCGTCTGTCTTGGCCTCCCAAAGGGCTGGGATTACAGGTGTGAGCCACTGTGCCCGGCTGGGAATCTCCAGTATAAATCTTAACTCTGATTCAGCGAGACCTCCTCAACCCCTCCCTCCCTGCTCCCTCCTCTGCTCCACCCTACCTGAGCCTAGGGTCTCTAGGGAATTCCCTAAGGGTGTCAGTACTACTTTTAAATTAATTCATTGGAACTCAGTTCTTCAGTCTCAAATCTTAGAAAAGGCTTTTTTTTTTTTGGTGGGGGAGGGCGTTGTAGGGAAGAAAGGGATAATGTGTGTTCTCTGTAAGCTAAAAATCACCATCCTTATTGCATTCCAGTACACACACAAATACATACTGCACATAGCCAAATTCCTAAGCAAGCAACACAGCTGCATTCTCACTTTATTTTGTCAACAAATGTTCATTGAATGCCTATGTATTGATAATCTATCATAAACTTGGGCATCTACTAGACTCTGGAAATATAAAGGAAGCTATCACAAATGAATACAAAATGGTTCTTGCTTTCAGGTAACCATAATCAATGTCAAAGGTGACATGCGAATGAACAATTATGACACTAAGTGGTAGTATGCAGAAGGCAAGCACAAATGCTAAGAAAACACATATGCAATTTTATAGCCACGTGTGTGGATCCTGTCCCTGTCCTTTTCCCATACATTCTCATGACAGACCCTTACAAGTAGACTAACCTACATCCATAGATCAGGAAAGTTGTACGTGTTCAAATTCACTCTAGATTCCTCCCATATGAACCGACCCCCAGCGCACATTCTCAAACACATCCTGAGGACTTGTACACAAACACTTAATCCTTCACCTCTCCCAAACTCATGAGTGTAACACTAGAAATCAGAGACCCACAGAGCTTGAGCACCTTAGAGATAATCTTATCCAGCATCTTCAGTTTACAGACAACAGCACTGCAGCTCAGAATGGATAAACTGCTTGTCTGAAGCTGAAGTCTTTTTAATAGAACATTTCCTGCGGTTTTGATTAACCTCATGTTCTCTAGTTTCCAGCACAGGGAGAGACATGCGTGATTCTGGCTCTTGAAATATTTCTCTTCACCAAGAAAGGTCCAAGTTCTGTACTGCTAACTCCAGGATAGGATTAAATCCCAGTGAGCCCAAAGGAGAATCAAATTTGGCCAGGAAGAGGCAGAGCAGACCTAACGCCTTCTCTGATAGATAGAGACACATCAGGGGTCAGAAACAAAACTTTCTCCAAACCAGAGATGCTGCTTAACTTCAAGACTCATAAAATGGCCAAACTGAAAGGGACTTTCAGGGCCACTTTGTCCAACCCTCTTACTTTATAGGTCCTAAAACATGCAGAAAACTGGAGGACTAGAACTGGAACTACAATACTGGGACTAGATCCCAAGTTTCCTAAAACCATCCAGTGTTCTTTGTGCTGCTTGACATGGATCAAGCCTGTGGGACTTCCCCTGGCACCACATGGGTGGCCCAGAATCCAGCCAGCAAGCTCCCCATTGCAGTCGCGATGAGATGAGAGCGAGAGTCCCACAAGTGCCCAGTGCAGTTAGAAAATTCCTCTAGGAGTGAGCCGTAATCTGGGGGTGGGAATGCCAGGGCCCCATGCCAGGAAGGCCCGGGAGCCCATGGCTTTGCTCTTCACCACCAGCCTGGCTTCCACAGGTCCTGCATGATCACATTGCCTACCGCTATGAGGTTCTGGAGATGATCGGGAAGGGGTCCTTTGGACAGGTGGCCAAGTGCTTGGATCACAAAAACAATGAGCTGGTGGCCCTGAAAATCATCAGGAACAAGAAGAGGTGTGGCTTGGGGGATGACATAGGCCACAGAAGAGGGACTGTGTGACTCTGGCCCCTGCAGAATGCCAGCCCTTCCTGACTCTGCCTCTGCCTCCGATCTTCCCTTTTGTTTTCCCTTTTCTCTTTCTACCTGTCTGATTCCATGAGGGGGCAAAGAGGAGGCGAGAGTATGGTGTTTTTAGTGCTTCCTGCCACTAGACAGTCTTGCTGGGGTCATGGGGAGGGGCTGACTGCTGCAGTGGGACCCGATACTGATGTTTCTGTCCCCATTTCCCACCCTGCCTGCCACTCCCAATCCCCTCAGATTTCACCAGCAGGCCCTGGTGGAGCTGAAGATCCTGGAAGCTCTCAGAAAGAAGGACAAAGACAACACCTACAATGTGGTGCATATGAAGGACTTTTTCTACTTTCGCAATCACTTCTGCATCACCTTTGAGCTCCTGGGGTCAGCTGCCTTTTCTTCTTAACTCATTTCCTCTGGAAAAGTTACCTAAGTGATAGTGTTTGAGGTCAGAACACTAGATTTTTCTGGATGTGAATATTTAGTAACTAGAATGTTCATGACAGTCACTTAGTTATCCAGAAGGCCCAGGAGCAAGGAGGCTGGGATGAAAGCAGGCAATCTTGGTATGCCTGTCACCTGTCAGCCTCCCCGTGATGTACTTCCCTGGGGTGGGTACTGAGCCAGGTGACATGACCAGAACAAGGCCTCTTTCCTCAAGAGCTAAACCAAAATAGTCAAAAAGGACTTTTCTTTGTTTGCTATCATATTCCCCACTCGTGGGCTTTCTGGCCTGATCATGCAGAGGCGGAAACCTAAAGGGATAGGCCGCTGGCTGCTCAGAGTGGGAAAAGGGTTTTGATTTTGAGTAAATAAGGACAAGAGCAGATATTTTTGGTAAGAGAGCAGAGCCTGACTTAAATAGATTGGCATGGCCTGGCTGAATATTGGAGCTGACGAGGCATGCCAATCGCAAGGGCATGCTAATTTGATGATTCTTCTCTCTGGGAAGACCATCTGATGCAATTTATATAACACTAGAAACCCAGAATGCATTTAGCAAAGGAGAACAAGCAGGGCTGAGCTCTCAGAGTGTTACTGGATGCAGCAAGCTGGTAGCTCAGGGCTCCCAGGACACCGCTGCTGATGGTGAAACTCTAGGAACCAGCTACATTTGAATTAGCAGGTAAGGTGACACTCTCCTCACCATTTCCGGTTATTCCAAAGCATGGTCGAGTCTCTGATATGCAGAGGTAAATTATCTTCTCTGTGGCCAAATGGACAGCTCGGTCTACCTTTCTTGGCCATGAATCCCAGTGCACAGTTAGGATGTCATTGTGCTTAAAAGAGCTCTGGGAGGTCAGAGGGCCAGGGTGTGCAGGGGGATCCAAAGCTCAGAGAGATGAGGGAGTTGCCCAGGTGACTAGTCAGGATGGGGCCAGAGCCAAGTCTCACATCTCCATTGCAGCCCTCAAGAATGAATGGTGGCCAGTGTGATGGCTCACACCTGTAGTCCCAGCACTTTGGGAGGCTGAGGCGGGTGGATCACTTGAGGTCAGGAGTTCGAGACCAGCCTGGCCAACAGGGTGAAACTCCATCTCTACTAAAAACACGTCTCTACTATAAACCCCATCTCTACTAAAAATAGCTGGGTATAGTGGTGTGTGATTGTAATCCCAGTTACTCGGAAGGCAGAGGCAGGAGAATCACTTGAACGTAGGAGGCAGAGGTTGCAGTGAGCTGAGATTGTAGCACTGCACTCCAGCCTGGGCAACAGAGCAAGACTCTGTCAAAAAAAAAAAAAAAAAAGAATGGCTCTGGCTGGGCGTGGTGACTCTCACCTGTAATCTCAGCATCTTGGGAGGCCAAGTTGGGAGGTCACTTGAGTCCAAAAGTTTGAGACCATCGTGGACAACATAGCAAGACCCCATCTCTAAGAAAACATTAAGAATGAGTGACTTGCTAAATACTACCAAAGCTAGATGATCTTAGGAATGGAAGATGAGGAGGGACCAGCAGAAGGTTGCTGAAAAGCCATTTTGGGGTCATGCTCTTTCCCTTCCCTCCCCATCTCACAGCTTGCACAGAGGTTTCATCTGGCAGCTCACAAATAAATATTTCTTCTTCAAATGCATTGTATTAATATTAGTTTCTAACATTCGTAAGTCTATAGATGTCATATCATACAGTAGGCTTCTGTCACCCTAGAGAATTTCAGATTCTCTGGCAAGAGCGAGCTTGCATTTCTCAAGGGAACTGTTAGGTGAGACCAAACAGCTACACTTTGGGAGGAGCAGGGGCTCCCTCTGGCCTCAGCCCCCATCTGCCCACTCTCTTGTTCCTTACTTGTCAGGAACCTGCTGTCCTTAGACAGCCCTTATTAGGCCTGGGCAGCAGTGGCTGCTTGTTTGAGTGACCGGTGGGTTTCCTGGGTCCCTCCCAAGGGCCTGAGGAACTATGACTGTTTCAGAAGTTTGGGCCAACCTCTTAACCCACCTGCATAACAAAGTGCTTCAGTGGCCTTGTCACATGAGAAACGAGGGGACATCTGAAAGTCTGATATGGTTTCACCCTGGGCCCACCATGATTCAGGGGGAAAGCTGAGTCTATAAGGGCATGAAATCCCTGCCTCCTGGTCTGAGGCTTGCCTGCTACTAGAGGGAAACCAGGTGATACAAGATTGTTTGCAGGTTCAAATTCAGCCTTCTATATTTTTTTACACCCATAGGCATCACTTTTCCCCTCTCTTTTCCAGAATCAACTTGTATGAGTTGATGAAGAATAACAACTTTCAAGGCTTCAGTCTGTCGATAGTTCGGCGTTTCACTCTCTCTGTTTTGAAGTGCTTGCAAATGCTTTCTGTAGAGAAAATCATCCACTGCGATCTCAAGCCCGTGAGTACCACCTCCGTCCTGCCACGGAAACACTCTGGAAATACCCAGAGTATTCCCTAGGCTGCGTAAGAATCACAAACTCCAATCCAAGCATTGCCTGTGACCTTTTTGTGTGTGTGTGTGCTCTATTGTCATGGCAGTATGTATGTCAAGGGCGGCATTTAATGCGAATGTCAAACAAATTCAGTCAATGGCATGTCTAAGGCCATGCAAGCGAGGCCTAGAACCAGGTGCCAAAGAAGATAAAAACAAAGTCACAATCTTCAGGAGTTACAGAATCAACAGGGGGAAAGTGACAAAATATATGCAAAAGAAACTCTGCAAAGCAGTGGCTATGAGGTCCAAAAGAGAAATACCGACCACAAATCAACTGGGAAGTCAGAGGGGAGGATGATGGGATTTTGGAGAGGAAGTGGGAGGAGGCCCATGGAGGTGGTCATATTTGAACTGGGCCCTGAAGGATGGGGAGCATTAAGGTAAGCAGAGGGCCTAGGGCAGCATTACTGTAGCTTGACATATGTCTTGTCTTCTCTCTAGGAAAATATAGTGCTGTACCAAAAGGGCCAAGTCTCTGTTAAAGTCATTGACTTTGGATCAAGCTGTTATGAACACCAGAAAGGTAGGCCCCATGCCAGTCCCGTCATCTGAGTTTTCCTATTGCAATTTCTCTCCCTTCACATACAAGGTCACCCGGCTTCTAGCCTGGGCTCAGCTATCACCACTAACCAGTCTGATTCTGAACAAGGTGCTTCACTTCTCTGAGCCCAAGTTTCCTCATCTGTAAAATGAGAAAGTTGTATCCAAGTACTAAAAGGGTGCTTTCAAGCTCTCATATTCTGTGGATATGGAATTACCCAAGAACAGTGAGTCCCAAAACTAACTAAATGTGTATCTGAATTGCTTTGGGGCTCCGAAAAATGATAGTTTCCAGGGCCTCACACCGCAAGTTCCTAATCCAAATTTCTGGGAAGTAGCTAGGAGTCTGCACTTCAGAAACTATAGTCATTCTGAAGCTTGGAATTCGCTGCCCCAGATCCTCTAGGTTTTATACTTTTTCAAGCGAGGATCCAAAAAGTAGCTCTGGAGTACATTTTCACAGCGTTTACTGAACTTGATTCAATATTGTGTTCTTTTGGCTTCTATCGGGTTCGCTGTAGACAACATGTACCATTCAACAGACATTTATGATCTGTTTTGTGTCAGTCACTGTCCTGGGTACCAGGAACAAAAAATGAACATTCCCTGTCCTCAGGTTGCTTACGATCTAATGTAAGAGACAGAAAGATAAAAATAGTATGGTGAATACAACGATTAGAGATGTACACAGGCTGTGTTAAAGATACACAACAGAGGGACTTTGGGACCAGCCTTTAAGGTGACAAGGGCTGTCAGAGGAAGCTTCCTGAGGCTGAAGAAAGGATTACTAGATGGATGTTCCCAAATATTAGGCAGATCAATTTTTTTTTCAGGAAAAAACATTTACAAGTTTATTAATAAAGAATATGATAAAAGACACAGATGAGAGATACACAAGGCAAAATATTTGGAAGGGGTGTGAAGCTTCCATGCCCTCTTGGGGGCACGCCGCCCTCCCAACACCACATTTCCCATACCCTGGAAGCTCTCTGAATCCTGCAGCTCAGGGATTTTTATGAAGGTTTCATCACATAGTCATTGAGATTATTAACTCAATTTCTAGCCCTTTCCCCCTTCCTCCAACAAAGGAGTTCGAACTGAAAGTTCCAAGCTTCTAATCATGGCTTTGTCTTTCTGGCAAGCAGCCCCTATTCAGGAGCCCACCAAGGGTCATCTCATTAGAACAAAGAGAGTCCTATCACCTCAGAAGTTCCAAAGGATTAGGAGCTCTATGTCAGAAGCCAGGACAAAAGGTCAATTATTAGAACAAGAGATACATGTAGAATCCCTATCACTCAAGAAATTAAAAAGGTTTTAGGAGCTCTGTGCCAAAACCTAGGGGTAGAGTCCTGTATCTATTTCTTATTATTTCTCACATGTGCTCATATACAAGCAGGTATATTATTAATTTCAAGAAAAAAATAAGTTGATGCACCCCACATACAGTGTTAGCCATTCACTCTCTCACATTGTTGGAGGAACTATAAATTCATATTACCTTTTGGGAGGTTACTTTTGCATCTTTAACCAAACATTTCACTCTAAACCTTCAAAAATTATAAATTCCCCTCTGAAGAACCTGTCCTACAGATTACAGATGTTCCCATAGAATGTACATCTTCACTAATGCACTGTTAAGTAGCGCAACATTGGAACCAACCTAAACATCTACAAATGAAGAATGGTTTAATAAATTAACACTGTTATACCACGCAGCTATTTGAAAAGAGAGATTTAAATGTAATGGCCTAGAAAGATCTCCATGATGAAGTAAGTGAAAAAAACTGAATAATGAAACTTTTGACATGTACATATATAAATAAGATAGAAAAAGATTTGCACCACACTGTTAAAAGTGGTTATCACTGGAGATGAGCTTGAAAGAGCTTAGGGTTGAATTTTCAACTTTTACTTTACATATATATCTTTTTTTTAGTAAGCATATGGATGATTTTTAAAATTTTCTCTTGGATTTTCAATTTTTAAAATTTTTTTTAAATTAAATAATTTGGTGTCTTTAATTTGCTAAAGATTTACATAAGATTTCTAGATGTCTAGTCTTAAGTGAGACCAGTCTGTAGGGTTTTTTTTCACGTGTGTATCTTTGTCCTGTTTGAATACCAAAGTTACGTCTTGAAAAAAATGAATTGACCTTTTCTATTTTCTGTTCCATCAAAGTCTGAAGAAAATGGGAATCATTTTCTTTTCACAAGGTCTCTTAGAACCTGCTTGGAAAGTCATCTGCATGTTGCATCTTTTGCAAGGGTAGTTCTTGAACCACTTTTCTACTTCTTTCATAGGCTGTTAGTCTGATATCCAGACTCCCTTCTGTAAATAAGTTCAGCTTTCGTATCTGTATGAACTTATTTTTCAGAGTTTTGCTTACTCTACTGTTCATGTCTTCAATGTGCTTTGCTTGCTGAATTCTCCTCATTTCTAAGACCTGCTCTCTTTTCTTTTGCAACCACGCTTTAAATACCATGTCGTTCTCCCTCTTTTTTTTTTCTTTCTCTTCTTCTATTTTCTGTTGCTCTTCCTTTCTTTTCAGCTTTTCTGTCTGTTGTTCTAGTTGTTTTTGTCGTTCTTTCTGTCAAGGGGAAAGACAGTATGTTGAGGTCACTGGTGAGATATGTGCAGACTCTGTCCTGATTAGATTTCCCATTCCCTTTACTTCGATCTGAGTTAGACAAGTCTTGCAGTTGAGTGGTGGCTGAGGGATTTAAGCCAGCGGCTCTTCTGTTGATGAGTGAGTGTCAGCATCAATCTTTCCTGCAGAATCTTCTTTCTTGATGCCACTGACAGGAGATGGAAGATCTGGGTAACAACTGCTGAGGGTCATTTTCTGTACTGTTTCCATTATTATTGGGAGGCAAAAACCCCTGACTCTCAATGTCTTGTAAACTCAGAAGTTCAAATTTTCTCTCTCTCTCCACCAGTATTGTCCTATCCTTGTTTATTTCACAGCTTCCATTAGTAAGTGACAGGAGCACATTTACTTGTCCCAAATCATTGGAAATACATAACTGTGACAGTTTCCCAAACATAATCCTTTCATTTTCAAAATAATTTTTGTAAGTATTAGTGTCTTTTTTTTTTTTTTAGTGGAAGAACTTCCAGATCAACTAATTTGTCCTTGAGCTTAAGTTTTCGCTCCCTTTTATCATTCACAGGTTCTTGATTCTGTAGAAGCTTGTTAGCTTGTACAACTTTCTCCATAATATATCTCCTTACTTCCTCATCCTCTTCCTCCTCCAAGTCTTTCTGCTTTCTAGTTTGGATTCCTGGAAAGAGTTTTCACTATCTGAATCTGATATGGGATCCAAAGGTTGAACGCTTGGAACAGAAATCAAGTCATTTCTTCTCCGTGGGACCTCAGCCTGCAAAGGTTTGTCAGGATCAGAAAGCTGTTTGGTGTGTTCTATTACTGTTTCATTCTCTTTGAAGTCTTAGTTAATATTCTCTTCCTTCTCACAAGCCATCTCTATTATGCTGGCATCACTTTTTTCATTTTCATTAGTTAACCACTCCAGGTCCTTTTCAGAGTCACCTTTGTATTCTTTTCACTTTCTTTTGCATCATTATCTTTATTTTCATTCATTTTCCTCTCTCCCACCATTAATATTTCCGCTCCGTATCGTCCTTCCCTTCTCTCCCTCTGTCTCCCTCCTGGCTGTGTAAAATGTGGTGGCTGGGGCCACGGAGACGGCCAGGGGCGTTCTGCTCTCCTCCTCTTTCTAAACTCTTCACATTGAGGCAAGGGAGACCCTGACATTTGCCTCGGCAGCAGCCAGGACCACGCTGCCATGGCAACAGCATGCCACTGTGTCCTCCATCCAGGCCTCTCTCTGGCAGATCAATTTTTGAGGACATAAGACCTTTATGTCTCTTATGTATGAATCCTATGAGAAATTCCAGCTAAAAAATAATGCTTCCTACAAAGAACTTGTATGTTTTCTCTTCTCAGATGTTGAAAGTTGTGTAACTTACCAGTTGTCATTTATCTTGGCTGCTAAGATGCTCAGAGCTGAATTTGTAATTATTTTAGCCCTGATTTCTAGCAGTCATTTCCCCCTTTGCGTATTTTCTGACTTCTTTTTTTATCTTTATTTTAACTGTGAGGCAGTATCTAGTATTGATACTAGAACTGGACTGCCTACTCTCAAATCCCAGCTCTGTCAGTTATAGCTGAGTAACCTTGACATTTTAACCTCTGTATGCCTCAGTTTTCTCTTCTTTAAATTGAAGGCAATAATACTACTTGCTTCACAGAATTAATGTAAGAGTTGAAAGGGCTTATCTATAAAAGTACTTGGAATCGTGCCTGGCACATACTAAACATAATGTAGTAAATACCATTAAATCCGTGTTCTAAAATACTCTGTGCATATGTACTTTGCAAAGTACCACAAATACATTTGGGAAGCAGGCAGGATATAAACATTATTTTTATTAAATCTCTATTTTGTTTTAAATCACAGAATTATGTTCTGACAATAACCAATTTAAACAACAGAAAAGTGGTTACAGAATCCCTGCTCCTCCCCAGGTAACCAGCAACCCCAGTTATGTGGAAATAACTACCGTGTTCCATTTCTTCGACTTCAGTCTGTTCATCCTCATCTGTTGAGATTTTTCTTTCTCTACAACAAGTGCACATACTATATTGAATATACACTTTGCACGCTCCCTTTCTAACTTGATATGCCTCTTCCCTTGCCAAGTCACAAGGCTCAGAAGCCGTCTACCCCAAATTAATCTGACAGTTTGAAAACTTAGTCTTATGTTTTGTTTGTTTGTCATAAACTTGGCTGACTGAAATTCACTTTCCTACAACAAAGCCTACGTTGGAGTTTGTTATCAATAAAGCAGGGACAATAACACCTCCTTGAGAATCAGATTGCTGTGCGGATATGCTGTTAATGTGTAATGAGAGTTCTGAGTGCTGGCCAGCTGGACTTCCCTTTCCCCGCCAGCGGGGGTGCAGTCGAACTGAGAAGGTGTCCTGGGGGAGAACGTTCTGGAGAGTAGGAAGGTTTTCCCACCAGGTTTTTCTCACTTTGCCTCCGCAGTATACACGTACATCCAAAGCCGGTTCTACCGATCCCCAGAAGTGATCCTGGGCCACCCGTACGACATGGCCATTGACATGTGGAGCCTGGGCTGCATCATGGCAGAGTTGTACACGGGCTACCCCCTGTTCCCTGGGGAGAATGAGGTGGAGCAGCTGGCCTGCATCATGGAGGTACGGGGAGGGCTGGCGGTCGGCTCCCACGGAGACCATGGGCTTGGCCTTCAGACACTGGGCTGCATCAGACTCTCCCAGGACCATGGCCTGCATCCTTTGTGTTGTGGGTATTTCCTAAAAGTAGTTTTGAAATTGTGTACTCCCTTGTACTTGTCAAGTCGACATCTAACATTTTTATCATAACTTTAAATAGTTGCAGAGGATGTCATTTCCATCATATTGTAAATAGTGACATTTTAAAATAAAACTGTTACACCACTCTTTCAAAAATATCCAAAAGAATGCAAAACCAGATTCACATGACACCCATTAAAATCCATCTGAAAGTATGTGAACAAGTTCTCAAGAGTTGTGCATTTATTTTACTTTGTTCTTTTTTGCTTTTTGTTTCTACTCTTTCTTCTACTTCCTCCACGGAATTTTATTCTAATTTAATATACGTTTATGTTTAGAAACTTCTGTCAATCATTATAGCTTTAAACGTTTCCTGATACCGTAAGCTTCATGTGTAAAAATTTCTTTTTGGTAAGTTACCATTAAAATATATCTGGTGTGCAAATTTTGATAATGATTGAAAATAAAATGTGAAATCTTATTGGGTGTACAGCTCTTAGAAAAATGAATAGAGCTGGGTTTTCTTTTTCCAGTTAATGCCTATACCCATAGGTGAATAATGCTTCTTGCTAGAATGCCGGGGCTCAGGATCAATGTGATTCCAATTGCTTGGTGGTGTAGATGTGAACCCAGTGAGGAAGCCTGTTCTAATTAATGTCGTCTAATTCGGTGACTCCTTTTGAGTTCTATGTAAGACTCAAATGGTGATCTGTCGTCTAAAATTATGTTTACCAACCTGTCAACAGGCTGACACCCCGATTAAAATGTTGAAAACAAGAATTGGAAGTTATTTGACTTCAAAATATGTGTATTGTTCAGGCATTAGTCATTCATTATGGGAAATGACAGTTTTCTGGGAAAACTATCTCCCTATAGCAAGGCTTTACCAAGACTCATTATATGATTATTAATTATATCTACTATGCTTTCACTTGAAAGTCATCTTGTTATGGAACTAAATTAGACAAAATAGAAAAATAACCTTAAAAATTTAAAATTTTACATTTAAGGATTTTCCCAGTGAACAAAGATATTTTGTGTGCAAACACCAAGCTAGCTGGCTGGTTGGCTGGCTGGCTATCTGTCTGTCTGTCTATCTATCTATCTATCTATCTATCTATCTATCTATCTATCTATCTATCTATCTGTATCTTTGCCAAATTTCTGTTTTCCAGATTGTCTCAAAGTTACAGATAGAGAAACACACATAGCCTTGAGAATGACTAAACATAGATAATTTCATTTCATGATTGAAACTAATAATAAAATATTAAAATAACTTAGGTAAAAATAGCTGCGGTGGAATGAAAACTGGCCTGCGAGTCATTAAACCTGGGGTCTTAGTCCTGGCTCTGTCTTTTTGCCTAGTCATTTCCTGGCTCTGGACTATAAAATGAGGGGAGCAGAGTAGATGGCTTCTAAGGTTGATAATGTATGATTTTATAAAGCATTCCCAGGCCGCTCCTGCTTCCATTACCAAAGAGAATGGGGCCTATGTTTCAACTTTCTTACAGCCCCAGAACTGACTCAGCTTCCTCTTGACCTCAGTGTCAAAGGGTCTGAGGAACAGAAGAGCAGGATAATGCGTGGATTATGACTGGGAACCGAGCCGCAAGGGTAGGTGACCCACACTGTAATTTCCTTATCTCTGTGTGCCCCTCCAAGTTGCAGTAGGAAAAGATGAACAAGTAGGTGCTACACTTTTCTTTTCAAGAAGGTATTTTGTCCTGTAATTGTCTGATGCTCATCCGGTGCTTTTCATCTTCTTTTCTTCTCCCTTTCCAGTGCTCCATGGTGGGATATATCATTCTTTAATTCCGACATGGCAGCATGTATACTAGTTTATTTACTTTGACAATGACATCTGGCTGCTATCAAGAGTGATGGCTCACCCCTAGTTGGTGCTGATGTTTGTGTAGAATAACATGGCCAGTGTTGATTCTTAGGATACGAAACCAGCCCTGGATTAGGAGTTAAAAGGCTCAGGCTCTGGGTTTGCTCTGCTACTGACCTGATGTTATTACTTAATGCTTTGGATCTTTATCTGTAGAAGGCAAAGCTTGGCCAAAGTACGCCCCACCCCTCAGCCTTTGAATCTGTGATCCCACAAAGAGTGAACCAATTGAATTATCCTTATTAAGGTGCTGGGTCTGCCGCCAGCCGGCTTCATTCAGACGGCCTCCAGGAGACAGACATTCTTTGGTAAGTGTGTCTAGTGTGTCTAATGAGGTATCACAGGCCTTGAAGACACCTACCGTACCTTAAGGCTCATTTCATTCTTTTCCCCTGGCCACATACCAAAGGGCTGTGATTAAGAGCTTCTTTCAGAGAAGTAAAAGATAATGAGCAGGGAAACCGGATAGCGTGATGGAGATGGGATGGGGCAGTCACAGTGCGAATGGGGTCTTGACAGTAAAAATGTTCAGGAGGAGGAGAATGGCCAGGTCCCTGCTCAGAAGAGCTATCAGCAAATACTGCAACCTCAAAATATTGTAACTGCATCCTCTCCTGGAGGTTCTCCCCACTCTCCCAAGCAACTTGCCCTCTCACACTATGCACTGTGCAGGGAAATCAAAGAGCAGAAGCCTCATTTCCAGAATAGTGGAAAATTCCATTGCTGCAATCTTGTTTCCCCTGCTAGAATTCTTCTTATCCTCCAGACCCTACTGTGCCAGGTTCATTGCAACAGTTAAGCAAGGACTTAGTTCTGCTTTGATGCGTTGTGGCTGGTAGTTATGTGTCATCTGTCCGATTGTTGGGAGTAAACTTCGTCCACAGTCCTGGCTGCCCTTCTCCTCATAATTTCCAGAATTCTGGATTTTTATGATCCTCTGCCTTTCTATTTAAGTGGTCCTATACAAGATGGAAGGATGGGTCCACAAGGCATCAACTGAGGCAGGGCTTTCAATGCACATACACCAAAAAGATGCAGCAAGTCCCAGAGCTAAAATCCCTTTAAAGAACCACAGGAAGCTCAGAGTCCCAGATAGAAACAGCCAGAGTGGCCTGAAGGTCAGCAAAGTGGAGCAAAGCCAAAGAGAAGGAAAAGGGAACTCCACAGACAGGGACTCCATGCTACCTGGAGTGACATTTCTCACCAGCCATGGTTATCAGGTCAGTTCATGGACTTCCTCTGACTATACAATCCCACACATTCCTGGCCCTCCCACCTCCGATTTTCAACTGCGAGCAACCTCTGAATGTGTATGCAAATTTCTGTTCACAACTTGCCCCATCAGTAGGAAGGTCCAGAACACTGTCGTGGGGAGATCCTTTAGGATAAAAGGATTTGGGTCATGCTGGCCAGTATGAACTGATTCAGCCACGTGGGGGTTGTAATTTGTCTATTTCTGTGCCATCTGGTAAAAAGCCACATGGTACAGAGCCCTGCCACAGCTGCAGGCTCCCTGGCCCTCTCCCAGGACTCCTTAAACTCTCCATGATCCAAAAACCTAACAGCTGAAGGCCAAGCAAGCAGAGGTGCTCTATGATCCTACTCCAGGGCCAGGGCTGTCTTCCATTCTGATTAGTCGGTTCCATGCCATTGATTCCAATGGTTAATTCTTTTAAACATCACCTTGTATCATGGCTGGAGCTTTGGAGACCTTGCCTCTGAGCAGGGCAGTGTCCTGGTTGCCATAGAATGGTGCCCACACATTAAAACAAGCAATCTGGCGGTCGGCCGAGGATCTGGCTGGCTCCCCAGTATAACTTACACATGGACCAAGGGAACTGGTCTTTGGATCCCAAATATACTTTTTCTACCCACAGCTTAATAATTCAGCCTTTCAGATTAGGCAGAGTCATTGTGGGAAGATACATCTTGAGCCTGGAACACTGAATTCATGAGATAGCATCTAGGTGGGGACTAGCAGGAGGGGAACATAGAGTGCCTTCGTAGGAACGTGCTAAAGATATAGGCACGCCCACTTCATAGCGTTCCTTATTTCAACCACTAGCACTAGGCGCTAGGATGGTGACGGGATTTTGGCAGCAACATCCATGTCTTCGCTTCCTGTGAAAGAAGGAATGTTGCTGAGAACTGCATCTCCGTCAGTGTTTTCCAAACTCTATCCAAATGTAAGAATCATGTGGGGACTTGGCAGAAAAGCTAATTCCTATGATTCTCTTCTATAAGCTATGGGAAGATTGAGATAGGACCCAGGATTCGACATTTTTAATGACAGCTCCTTGTGATTCTCATGACAAGATGAATTTGGGAAACACTGTTGTTCAGTCCTTGACTCCCTTTCCCAGGTTTGGGCTGCCAACAGCTCCTCAGCCCCTGGCAACTCCTAGTTAATACCTGCAATTAGCAGCAAAATGGTGTTGTCTCAAAGCTGGTAAGATAATATACTTAGGTGGCCTAGGTGGCTCAGGCAGTAGGAAGGGAATGGAGGGAATGATCAATGAGGGCCAGAGTGAGAAAAGCTTGTACAAGAAAACACTTACATGATCATGACTTTAGGAGCTTTGTTATTTATAAGACTGTGAGCTTGATTCTTCTTTGGTCATTGGTAAAAAGGGCAAGCTAGGATGAAGTGGGAGGGCTGAGGCCAAGATCCAAAAGGAAATGGATCTTTGTACAATTTCACAGGACCTTGTCACTTAAGATTTACTTTACCATTGTTATTATTATCAGTAGCATTATTATTTTATCTTGGTGTTAAACCATTTAAATTATTTCTTTGCTTTGGAGAGGAAGTAGTGGGAAGGAAGTTCAGAACATACTGAATAGTAGGAAAAAATCAATTATTAAAGTAAATTGTATTCCTTGGGTAATCTACACATGGTTATTTCAAACTGTGTGTGTGTGTGTGTGTTTATTGGGGTGTGGCATGAGGCGAGTGTGTAAGACAGAGAGCAAAAGAGCTACAGAGGCCACTCTAAGAAGCAGCATGATGTGACCAGTAAATATTTACACCTGAAACTAAAGACAGAATGTTGTATCTCTACAGATTCCAAAGGTTTTCCTAAAAATATAACCAACAACAGGGGGAAGAAAAGATACCCAGACTCCAAGGACCTCACGATGGTGCTGAAAACCTGTGACACCAGCTTCCTGGACTTTCTCAGAAGGTGTTTGGTGTGAGTTTGTTGGGATATCTCTGCCTCTGGGTTTCCTCTAAAATGCTGTACTTTGACACACGTTCGCTGGTGAAAGTCTAAGGCTGGGAGATAGTTATGAAAGTAACGAGAAATGCTAACAATAGAGCTTTAAAGTCTACAAATTGCTTCCACATCTGTTGTCCCATCAGACATCTCTCTCTCCCCACTGTGTGGTTGTCAGGGCGGATGATTTGTTCTGTTTTACACGTATGGAGGTTGGGATTCAAAGAGATTAAGAGACCTGCCCAGGAATACACAGTGTATGGCAGAGTTTGTCATCTTCCTGGCCTCACACTGCCTGACGGTGAGATGGTAGGCCAGTCCTCAATTTCTTCTGCTCTGTGAGCTGAAGCCAACCTGCTGAGTGCTTGTTGTAATGATTTGCATACACATCCAGTTTAAACTGGTTTCAGGGCCTGTCCCCATCCCCCTGTGATTTAGTACCCAAATCCTCTTATATTAGGGAATTAGGGGAAGGGTGAGCTGTAAACCATTTATTATGTACAACTTTTTACAATCTATATGCATATTTTGAATCTTAGAAATTAGGTCTGCACTTAAGTCATAGTACCCAGTACAGTGCCCAGTTTAAAAGGTGTTTAGAAAACGTCAGCTATTCTTATTATTTTACGACTATTAAAGAGGTAAATCTAGCTCCACAGAGTGGCGAGTAGATTATCCATGTGATACTTGGCAAGTCATCACTTTTGTCTGGGCCTCAGTGTTCTTTCCTATACAATAGGGTATTCCTAAGCTCCCTTCCAGTTCCATCAGTCCTATAATTTAGTATTTTTAGAAGACCATATCATCACAGTCTCTTATTCTTCCAGATGGATGGAGTAGTGTTATCAAAATACTCTTCTGGCATGTGTGCACTCTGGAATTTCGGTACTAGCTCAGAGGGTGAACCATGAGGTAGTGATGAAAGTATTCCCATCGTAGGGGGTCATGCTATTCGCTCATCAGAATAATCGAGGTAGAGAAGGATCCTGTACCCCATCTTTACCCCTACCTTAACAAATGACAGAAACCAACTGCTGAGGCAGATGGGTTATCTAGAAACCTCGACCGTCCAGAACACAGCTTAGCACCAAGGAAGACATTATTTTCTCTTTTGTGCAAAGGACGGATTACTCATAACTTGCAAGAGGCAGTCGGGCTGATGGGGACTGTTACCTTATATATATATTGCTAATCAGCAAATCTTTGGAATGAGAGACTAAAAGTTTTGAGCCAAGTTCAATAGGCATAAATGTAAAGCCCTGTGTCTAGACGTTGTAGGCTAACTCCAAAAGTCCAGGAAAGGAGAGATGTTGTTTAACAGCAGTTCATTTGACACAGAAATGAGAGTTTGAGCTGTTTTAGGATCTTGATGAGTCTAGAATGCTAATACTGTCTTCCCTGCAGTTATAGAAGCTATTCCCACCATGATGGACACCAGTTAGACAACTGCTAAAATATCCTTATTTCAGGAAGGTGGCCAGATGGTGAAAACCGTGTCATATGATTATCAGTTAGTAGCAATGTAAATATTTTCAGATGGTTGAAGGACTGAACCATAAAAGAAGGATTAGTTATTTTGTATGATGGTAATGGGTTGATGAATTAGGACCTAGGTAAAAGTTACTGGGAAGCAAACCAGTTTTGGCACAATAAAAATCAAGAACTTTTAAAGAATCAGAGTTTTTCAAAATTGGAATAGATGGTTCTGTGAGTTAATGTCTTGTCACTGAAATTACTCAAGAATTGCGGGGTGATTCCATGATGGTAATTCGGTCAATGTATTCTGCTACTGAATTACAAGTTTGATTGGATTATATCCAAGTCCCCTTGCAAATCTTAATATTCTAGAATTCTGTAAATCTCCTTGTGATATTTTTGAAGCCCCAGTTCTGTAGTCTGGAAATTCAAATCTCCGTTTTTAATATTGTTAGCTTAGTAAACCCTAAATCCTATTGATTAAGCTTTTGTAAAATAATATTTCTTATAAGGAAATTTCTAGGAATGCTGGAAGACTTGGACTGTAATATATATTCCCTGGCTTGTTATACACATCTTCTAGAAAGATTATTTCCAATAGTTGTTTCCAGGTACTTTTAAGTTATATGCCATAATCTCTGTTCTGTGATGATATATCTTTGAGATAACAACATAGCTTAAATAAAAATCTTTATTGGGTTTTAAAAATGTTTTAATATATTAAAAGGAAGTAAAATAATAACCCATGCGGGGCTTTGTTGGGGTGCAGATGGGAACCTTCTCTTCGCATGACCCCGGACCAGGCCCTCAAGCATGCTTGGATTCATCAGTCTCGGAACCTCAAGCCACAGCCCAAGCCCCAGACCCTGAGGAAATCCAGTTCCTTTTTCCCTTCTGAGACAAGGAAGGACAAGGTTCAAGGCTGTCATCACTCGAGCAAAAAAGGTACAGCCTGTCAACCAGTCCTATTCCCACAGTCCAGGAAGCCAAGCATTTCTGAAGGATTTATATGTCAATTTCTGTAACCTCACCCTGGGGTAATTCTTGTGGCTACGTCATGACTATCCTGCTATTTCTTACCTTTGGGATTTTCCTTTTCCGGGAAATTTGGCATTAGCCTGGATCTTTTTTGCCCCTCGTTAGGATTTTCCATTTTTCTCCTATAATCAATTTCCTTTCTCCTATAATCAATTTCCTTTCTCCTCCTCCCCTTTTCATTAAATGCGTCCACCCCTTTATGCCCTATAATTACCTTTAGAATTTCTGTCAGTGCCAGATTATGGCATTATGCGAATTTTTATATGCAATATAGTCTAGTGGTTAGCTAGATGGTCCTAAGAGTCAGGTTACCTGGGGATTAAATTCTGGTTCTACCACTTACCAGGTGTGGACTTAACCTCTCTGTAGCTCAGTATCTCCATTTATGAGAATGAGAATCATGCCTATTCTCCAGGGTTGCTGAAATGATCAGATGAATTAGTGAACGTACAGTGCTTAGAATAATGTCTGGAACCTTGAATGTGCTTTGCAAATGAACTGGTTTTGTATCGTCACAGTCATGGTTTCCGCTAAGTGATGTACAACCTAAAGGACAATTAACATATAATCCACACTTGAATCTTGTTCCCTTCTGTCTTCTCTCTCCTTTAGCAGATGAGATCACCAACAAGACTACAGAGAAAACAAAAGATGGCTCCACGAAGCATGTTCAGTCTTCAGGGGATCAGCAGGACTCTCTCCAGCACAGAGCTGACACTGTTCAGCTGCCTCAACTGGTAGAAGCTCCCAAGAAGTCAGAGGCACCTGTTGGGGCAGAGGTGTCCACGACCTCCCCGGGACAGAACAAAAACTTCTCCCTCAAGAACACAAACATTTTACCCCCTATTGTATGACCTTTGCTGAGGGTATGTCCTGCTCCTTTCCACCAGTGATTTGTATTAAGACAGCACTTATATTGTACAATACTTCAGACTGTTTTTTTTACATACATAAAAGTTTATTTTTAAAAAACTCTATTAATATGGCCAATTGGCATGATTCCTCTTATGAGGGATGGGGAAGGATGTCCTTGCACTTAAATTCATTCCGTATGTGTTTGTGTGTGTATAGGGGGCAGGTAGTTTTTAACTCTCAATGTTGTAGCATCATTAAGGGAACTCTTACACAAAAGAAAATTTTTTTTCTTCTTGCCCATGACTGCCAACCTATGTCAGGATTTTTGTTTGAAAATGATAGAAGCTGAATTCAGAAGTAGTTTAAACAGCCGAAGACATTTATTGACTTATATAACTGGGGAATCAGAAAGGATAGATGTAGTTTCAGTCACAGCAGGAGTCAGGAATTCAGATGAGGTTGTAGGGCTCAGACTCCCTCTTCATCTATTAGCCTTGCTTCTCTCTATGGTTAACTTCATCCTGATGACAGGCCCTGCTCAGAAGTTAACCACCAATATCCAGTCAAAAGATACCAGCTTTGTTGCTAAGAGGGAGTCTCCAAAATGATTGTGACACAGAAACTGTGACTGGGAGACCGGGATGCTTGGCCAGTCTGGGTCCCAAGCCCACAGTGATGGTGAAGGCACTGTGACTGATGCTTCTTTAGACTAGAGCAAGGGATGGAAGGTTTCCCAAAGGAAGGGAAGCTGGGTAAACAAGCAGGACATGTTCACTCATCTATCATATGCCACCTCTAAGTATGTCTTCTTACTTCCCTTTCTAATCCTCATCTACACGAATACATGATTTTTTATGTGGTTATCATAGGACAGATAGAATTTTACATGAAACTTAAGATCATAACATCAGAAACATAGAATATATAAAAATAATTTTTTTACTTGGCATTTGGAATAACCTCCCCCAATATAGTTTTCAAGATATTATAGTTGCATAATATTTTATGAAGGGGGACACCAGATCATTGAAGCAATGGATTTCGATGTAATCTCCCAGGGAAGATCTTGAGTTAGAATAGCAGAGGGTTGAGAGACAATCCTAGGAAAGATAAATATATAAGGAGTTGCCAGAGTTGAGGAGGTCCCCCAAGAGACCCAGAGATATAGAAAGAAAATTAGAAGCCAATGGAGAAGTTTCTAAATGGAAAGAAGAGTCAAGAATAGACAATTTCCACAGAAAATTCAGGAAAAGAATAGAAAATATTCCTAAAGTGGGGCGATATGGACATTAAGTCAGAGCAGTGTTAGAACTGGTAACTTATCCCAGTTTCTATAGCCAGAAAACCACAAAACCAGTGATAGAACTCAGATCCTTGGGAGCATTCTTGACACGATCTTCAACTATGGATGAAGTTGGAGGTGGACATTTGTTCTGCAGCTCTGCAGAGAATTAGAAGCCAAGTCTTCAACATTGTAATCAGGATGATTTTGATTGAATATTAGAAAGTATCTTCTGATTTTCATGGTTATAAAAGGTTAAAATGAATTCTTGATAAACTGTGGCTTATTTTAAGAGAATAGTCTAAATATGGAAGCTGCAAATTGTGACACGGACAGGGGACAGGCTGAGTGACCTTCAGCAGGGCCTCTCAGTCCAGCTCTGTTGTACCTTTACCATTCATCAGGTTATTTTTTTCACTCCTCGGATTTCTTTACCTGATTGTACCATTGGATCCCAAGGCAATAAAACATGTGGAGCCCTTTAATTGTAATTTTTTAATTTTATGTCCTTGCTCGCATGGACAGGAAAATCTGCAAAATTCAGTGACTAGCATAAGGTGACCTGACTTTGATGAGAGTGGTATGAAGATAATGTTAGGGCTCTGTGAGGATATAGAGGGGGAGGTGTGGAAGTGAGAAAGAAGGGCGGGGATAAGGGCCGGGCCCACTGCCGGAAGAGGGGAAAGCAGTGGGGTTGCCGATCACAGGTTCGCCATCAGCCAGTCCAGCAGCTGCAGGGGTGTGACATTCCCCACCGCCTCATTCAGCTGGCGCTCCTTCTCGTAGCGCAGCACCGACTGCAGAACCTCGCCCACACTGCATCCTTTGTCCACAGCAGCAGCTGAGAGCTGAAGTAGCTGTGAAAGGAAAGAAAACACTAGTGGCGAGGCACGGCATCTCATGGCAGGCCAGACGGAGCCTGCCAAGGCTAGAGCAGAGAGGCCAGGCAGACCTCAGGAAACTGCAACACAGACTTTCAAGTTTGTTGGCCTGTTTAACAGAAGGAGGTTGGTGACGTCATTCTTAGTTTAGAGAAGAGATGTTACCATCCACCTGCCCGTGATCTTGTTCTCTAAGAATTCTAAGGTTCTAAGCTCACCCTAATATCATAAAAGTCTCCATCATTGTCCTAAGACCAAAAGGGCAGATGGAAAATACCCAGTGGACAAACGTGGATGCTGCTTTCCATGCCCCATAGACCACAGAATCTTAAAATGTTAGAGCAAAAAGGCACCTCAGAGAACAATTCAACCCTCACGAAAACGTTTCCCAGAGAAGTACAGAGATTTGTCAGAATTAACTGCTAGTAATTAGCAGAACCAAAATTCATTGCAGGTATTGGATCCTATCTTTAGCTCTTTTTTCAAGTACAAAGTGAGAAAAGTTAGTTAAGCAACCATTCTAATATAAATACAATGCTGTCATTTATCTGGAATCCTAAGGGCAACAAACTTTCAAGTAATAAGATTTTTATTTTGTTCATTTTGCTCTTGACTTTTTACGACAAAGGGCAGGCAAATAAACAGACCAAATATTGAGAGCATCTTCAGAAAGATAAATATCCATGTGAGAAACTGAAATAGAAGAGCCAAATGGAAATTTTAGAACTAAAATTTACCTACAAAATATAAAATAAAAATGTATCAGGTGGGCTAAATAGCAGAATGTAAATGAGAGAGGAAAGTCAGTAAACTTGAAGGTAGATCAATAGAAATTATCCATGCCGAACAACGTACAAGATTGATTAAGCTTATTTCAAAAAACATTTAAAAAATAAAATAAACAGAGCCCAAGGACTTGTGGGCAATACCAAAAGCTTTAACATTTATGTTATTAGAATACCAAAGGAGAAGAGAAAAGTGATGATGCAAAACATATTTGAAGAAATAATGGATGAAAGTTTTCCTAATTTGCCAAAAAGTTTTAAACCTACACATTCAAAAAGCTCAGGGTACCTAAAATAAAACAAACCCAAACCCAAAGAAATTAACTCCAAGACCTACCATAACTAAATCACTGAAAATTAAAGAAAAAGAAAAAAATCTTAAAAGCATCCAGGGAAAACCATTTATAGGGGAACTGCAAGTCAAATGACAGCCAATTTCACATCAGAAACCATAGAGGACAGAAGAAAATGGCACGTCTTTTAACTGCTAAGAGAAAATAACTTGCCAAATTAGAATTCTATATCCAGCAGAAATTGTAACTCAAGAATGAGAGTCAACTAAAGACATTGCCAGATTAAATAAAACTGAGAGAATTCATTGCCAGAAAATGTGTTCTGAAAGAATTGCTAAAGGAAGTTCTTCAGAGAGAAGGACAATGATACCAGAAGGAAACTGGGAATATTAAGAATGAATGAAGAGCGAGCTTTCAGTATAAATAGTAGGCTATCCTCTTCAGTTCTTTAAAATATGTTTTAAGGGTCAGGAGCAGTGGCTCATGCCTGTAATCCCAGCACTTTGGGAGGCTGAGGCAGGAGGATCACTTGAGGTCAGGAGTTTGAGACCAGCCTGGCCAACATGGCAAAAATCTGTCTCTACTAAAAATACAAAAATAGCTGGGCATTATGGCATGTGCCTGTAATCCAGCTACTCGGGAGGCTGAGGCAAGAGAATTGCTTGAACTCAGGAGGCGGATGTTGCAATGAGCAGAGATCAGGCCACTGCACTCCAGCCTGGGCAACAGAGTGAGATTCTGTCTTAAAAAAAGTGTTTTAAGGTTGGAAGCAAAAGTAACTGAGGGTTTTTTCAAAGTATGTAGATTAAATACATAAAGCAACTCAACTATAAAGGGAGAAGGATAAAGGAAACTTATATGGTAGTAATATTTCTACATTCCAGCTTAAGTGATAAACTATTGATGCTACATGGATTCTGAGAAGTTGGTATGTATATTATCATCCCTAGATTAACCACTAAAAAAACTACACAAAAAGATATAGTCAAATATGCAATAGATAAATTAAAATGGAATACTAAAACATGTTCAAATAGTCCAAGAGAAGGCAGCAAAGGGAAAACAAGGAGAAAAAAGAGAGAAGCAACAAATAACAAAATGGTAAACTTAAATCCAAACATATCCATAAATTGGGCTAAATGTAAATGGTCTAAACATATCAAATGCCAGAATGGACAAAAAATATAACCCAAATGTATGCTGCCTACAAAAACCTTACTTCATATATAATAAGTTAAAATTATAGGAAAAGATGTACCATGAAAATGCCAATCAAAAGAAGACTCGAATCTAACATTAATGGTCAATAGGATTTTTCAATAAAGGAGATGGATAATTCAGAGGGGCCAGATACCCAGTGGTCTTTTCAACAAATGGTGCCAAGATAACCTTCATATCTATATGCAAAATATTGAATTTGGACTCCTACCTCACAAAAATTAACTCAAAGTAGATCATAGACCTAAATATAAGAGCTAAAATTATCAAACAAGTAGACAAAAATAAGGAGAAAATCTTCATGGCCTTGCATAGGTCAAGGTTACTAGCTCTCAGCACTCCTGGCCTTCTGGGTTTGTTGTGGGGCTATTTTGCTCATGGCATGTGGTTTAGCAGTATCCTTGGCCTCTACCTGTTTGATTCCAGTGGTAATCCCTTTCTCTGTTGTGACAACCAACTATGTCTCCAGACGTTGCCAAATGTCCCCTGGGGGGCAAAATTGCTCCTGGTTGAGAACCACTGGGTAGGCAAAAATTTGTTAGGACACTAAAATCACAAGACATAAAAGTAAAAAGTGATAAATTGGATGTCATCTAATTAGACTTCATTTTGCTCTTCAAAAGACTCCATTAAATAAAAAGTTAAACTACAAACTGAGAGAAAATATTTGCAAAAATATATCAGATACAGGACTTGTATCCGGCATATATAAAAGAGCTCTTATAATTCTAATCAAGAAGAAAACAATCCAACCAAATTATGGGTGAAAGAATTGCACAGATATCTCACTAAAAGAATATATATGAATGGCTAATGAGCACATAATAGAATAACATGCTCAATATTTTTCATTTTAATGTATGTTTGCCGAATGAAATCCACAATGAGATACCACTATAATTATTACAATAAATGAAAGAATAATACTGACCAGGATGTGGAGAAACTGAAACCTGTGTAAATTACTGGTGAAAATGTAAAATGCTACAGCCACTTCAGGAAATAGTTTGGCAATTTCTTAAGAAATTACACTTAACCTGTCGGGTGTGGTGGCTCATGCCTGTTTTCCTGGCACTTCGGGAGGCCGAGGTGTTCAGATCACTTGAGCCCTGGAGTTCCAGACCAGCCTGGGCAACATGACAAGACCCCGTCTCTACAAAAAAGTACAACAATTAACTGGGTGTGGTGGGGGGTGCCTGTAGTCCCAGCTACTCGGGTGGCTGAAGTGGGAGGATCGCTTAAGCCTAGGGAGTTGGAGGCTGCAGTGACTATGATTATGCCACTGCACTCCAGCCTAGGCAAGAGAGGGGGGAAAGGCCGGACGCGGTGGCTCAAGCCTGTAATCCCAGCGCTTTGGGAGACCGAGACGGGTGGATCACGAGGTCAGGAGATCGAGACCATCCTGGCTAACACGGTGAAACCCTGTCTCTACTAAAAAATACAAAAAAACTAGCCGGGCGTGTTGGCGGGCGCCTGTAGTCCCAGCTACTCTGAGGCTGAGGCAGGAGAATGGCGGGAACCCGGGAGGCGGAGCTTGCAACGAGCTAAGATCACGCTACGGCACTCCAGCCTGGGCGACAGAGCGAAATAAATTACATTTATTGAATGACACTTATTGTAACATGCTGCAATTCCACACCTCATTATCTGCCCAAGAGAAATGAAAACATAACCACACAGGCTTGTATGTGCATGCTCATAGTGGCCTTACACATAATAGCAAAAATGGAAACCATCTAAATATCTATTAACTGATAGATGGACAAACCAAATGCAGTATATCTACATAATGAAGTACTCTTCAGCAATAAAAAGAAATAAACTACTGATACATGCTACAACACAGATGAACCACAAAAACCTTACACTAAGTGTAAGGAGCCTGATGTAAAAGACCACACACTTATGGCTCCATTACATAAAATGTCAAGGAAAGGCAAATTTATAATGATGGAAAGGTTAATGGTTGCACAGGGATGGGGGATGAAAACTGGGAAATGTAAACAAGAATAGCCTAGAAAATTCTGAGGCAGAGAAATAAAGAGTCTCCAGTCCTATCGGATATTCAAAAATATTATAGAATTACAGTAATTAAAACAGGATGCCATTGGTACAAGAGTAGATGGACAATTCAATGGCATAGAGTGGAAAGTTTAGAAAAAGAATAGGAAAAAAATAAGAGATTATGGCCAGACACGGTACCTCATGCCTGTAATCCCAGCACTTTGGGAGGCTGAGGCAGGTGGATCATGAGGTCAGGAGTTCAAGACCAGCCTGGCCAAGATGGTAAAACCCTGTCTCTACTAAAAGTACACAAATTACAGCGTGCCTGTAATCCCAGCTACTCGGGAGGCTGAGGCAGGAGAATCGCTTGAACCTGGGGGACGGAGGTTGCAGTGAGCTGAGATCACGCCACTGCACTCCAGCCTGGGAGACAGAGCGAGACTCTGTCTCAAAAAAAAAAAAAAAAAAAGGGATTATAACCTTACTTCATACCTTATATATAAATGAATTCAAAATGTATTAGAGTCTTAAATATATTTTAAAAATCATAAAAGTACAGTCACGCACTGCATAATGATGTTTCAGTCAACCACAGACTGTACATATGATGGTGGTTCCATATGCTTATAATGGACCTGAAAAACTCCTATTTTCCCGTGATATCATAGTTACAGTA